ACTGACATACAAAAGGATCACATAATGCAAACTACATAAGCTATAGCTGCTGCTCACTCAGATAGGCAACTTGGGAAATATTAGATTTCTCTTTTAGACCATTATTCCAGCAATATACAAGTGATTATCATAAGGATCACTTTTAAAAGAGTATAAAATTAGACATTGGGTAGAACTTTAGAATTATAAAGTTTAAGGGAAAAAATTAAAAAGGAAACAAAAATGAAGAGAATATAAGAAAAGAAAGTCAGCCATCTCTGGTTTCTTTGAGTCATCCTCTCCTACTTGGACTAAACCTTTTTATTAATTAATTAGTAAGTATTCTCAAGTACTCCTTGATAACTAAAGCTTCCATTATGCCTTACTCACCTTGCAAACCATTGTTCTCTTCCTTTTATTGTTACCACACATCTTGAAAGAGTTGTTCCCTCTCACTTTATTTCCTTCTTCCCTTGATCCCCACAAATCTATGTACACTGCTCTTCTCAAACTGTTGTCATGAGGACCATGGATAATCTCTGCTCTGCCAAATTTAGTAGACATACTTCTCAACATTTATCTTGCTCAACCTCTCTGTGACTTCTGGAAACACTAACTGCTTACTCTGTTTTGAAACTCTGTCCTCCCTTGCCTTCTGGGGTGCTGACTCCTGACTTTCAGACTTTTATGCCACTACATGTCGGTAGGCACTGTCCCCATCTACCCTGTGGTGCTGTATTTCAAGATTCCTCCAGGCACAAGTTTTCTTTTTCTAATATGCAGGTTGAGTGATTTCATTCATTTCCATGACTCTGGCCATCACCAGTATGCTGACACGTACATCTCCAACAGAGTTCCTGACATTCTGACACAGCCATTTTGATTAAGCCTTGAGAACAAACCTTTTCATTTTGTCTCTTATAATACTCAAAACTGACAGTCTCATCCTATAGCTGAATTTTGTTCGCTAAAATGAAGTATGATTTATTTTTGAATTCTCCAGTAAGTCTTCCAGAAAAAAAATAGTTTATAGAAAGCTTTAATGCAACTTTTACAAACAATGATACTCCGATTCCTACTATGACGCTAGCAAAATCTGACAAAACTAGACCAATTCAAGTTGAATATGAAGTACAAACATACCCTGACTGTAAGTAGAATTGCAAAATCCCAATATTAGCAATTTAAATTCAGCATTATGTTAAATGTATGGTTTGTTCAGTAATGCTACAAGAAAAAACATGAACATGTAAATAGATGCCTAGTAGTCATTTGATAAGATTCAAATTTTTCTCCCAAGCTCAGACTTGGAAATCAAACAGAGCAGATCTAGAGTTAAAGGTAATTCACTCCTCTAGTTGCTTTGTTTCCATTGAACAGGTCAATTAACTTTTTCTGGGCCCTTATTTCACTACAAAATGGATTTAACTTATCTTAACTCTCTGGTTAAAAATAACATGCCATCTTTTCCTTGCCAAACATTTTTCATTCTTGGAATTACAAATTTAACATTTGCTTTTCACACCAGACTGAAGCCACCTTAAAGACATGCATCGTTATTCATGAGTAACAACATTTGTAGAGTGCATGACCAGTTACAGAATTTGTGAGACCCAGTGCAAAGTGAAAATGTTCAAAAATAATTAAGAATTTCAACACAGTGACAGCAGAGCAGTAAACAAAAGAGGGGTTCTTCAAAGCACAGGACCCTGCAGAACTACATAGAGCCCATGTCCCTAACATTGTCTTTGCGTGTGCAAGCCTGTGTACATGCATGTGTGTATTTGAAACAAATTTAATATTTGGTTGGAAAATTAAATCACAGGAACTTCAGAAAATATCTAGGGTTAGTACAATATATAGAATTCAGATTCCTGCCTATAAAGAGTAGTCATATTAAGTTGGACAAAAATAGTACAGTTAATAGGAAAATATTTTCAGGTTAAAAATAATAATTGACCATTTTGACTGCAGATTGTAGAACATTAAAAAGAAATTGGTTAACTTACAACAATTTTCTCTTTAGGTTGACATCATTTCATTTCAATATTTTTCTATTATAGGAATATTATCTTCCCTTTTAAAATTTAATGATAATAACTCATAAAAATTTATATTTGTCTCCTTTTGGCTTTTTTGCACAATTCATTGGTTCTAAAAAAGCATAATAATAACTGCTCCATTTCTTTAATCATAAATCATTAGCAGTTTAGCAATTTTAAAAATCCTTTATCCTTTCCCATCTGTGAGATAAATAATTGTATTCAATTAATCAAAATTACAATAGCTAACTTAAGGCTTTGGGAATTTTTACAAATGATATTGATTTTGTGATAGAATTCTCTATAATTTAATGTAGTTAGAAGGTGCATCTATTAACATAATTGTGAAAATCCCAAATGCTTTCAGAATATTCTCTTCAAAAGGCAGTGTCCAGTGAGAAATTTACATCTCTCCTGGAACTCTAAATAATTTTCCCCCAAAGTTTGCTTATGCAAAGGCCCTTATTCTGCCAGGCTTTATGGTGATTGCAAAAAGGAAGACAGATTTCCTCCTGTGCAAGTTGTTGATGGATGCTCTTGTGTCCTGTCCCTGAAATGTTCGAAAACAGAAGAAGGGGGGAAAAAGAGCAAGCCATGAGTCATTACATGCCTCCATGCTTCTGTCAGAGATTTAAATAACTAATAAGTAACCCAGGCATGCTTTGTTATAGAATTTATATTCAACAGTCACTTCAGCTTCATCTCTCCCTACTCCCTACTCCTCATTTAGTTCCAAAAAAAATTGGAAATCGTTGGCTTTTCCCATTCTGTTCTGTCTCCTTGTCTCATTTGTTTCCCTTGTCTCTTCTACTTTTCTTCTAGTTCCTTTCTGTCTTCACTATACATTCTCTATTTTTGTTCTAATTCTGCTAGTTAAACTCTCACATTTACTTAAGGAAGTCTCTGATTCCACCCCTGTGAAGCCAAATGAGAAAATGTTCTACCTCACAGGAAGTTTTGCATATTTGGGGACAATATATGTAAAATGCTTAGCACAATATTGCCACAGAGCAATTTTCATGCCATCATTCTCTCTCATGTTGTCAATTAGCAATACTGAATGCCAACCATGTGCTGACACACTGTTTTAAATGGAAGCAAGCTTCCCTGGGCACAGGAAAGAAAAGGCCACTATGACTGCAGCATAGTGAGGTTGAAATAGGTAACAGGGAATGTGGTAGGATCCTATCACACAGGGCCTTGAGGACCTGGTACACAGTGGGAAGTGGCCAGAGAGTGAGAAGCTCAATCAGGTATCATGCCTCTCTGAGAAGGGGTTTTGAGAGGGAGGGAAAGCTGGAAGATTCCCTGGACAGCCTTTGTAGTCATCTGGCAGGGTTTATTTTGGAGGTGGCACTGACAGGACTTGCCAATAAATTGGTTGTGGGGAAAAAAGACAAGAGGAATCAAAAGATCCAAGTTTCAGGCTTGAGTCAGTTGTCTAACTCTCTAATTCATTGTTGTTTTCTTTATCTCCCTCCTTATTCTTTGTCTCTTTTCCTTGCTGCACTATTACAGAAGCTCTTTACCAAATCCAAGTTCATTCCTGCTCATGTGTCAATTTAGAAGTCACAACTCCAGAAACCTCTTCTGAGTTCCCCACTGTGGGGCAGGGGCACGCCCACATGATGTCATCCTCCTCCCAGCATCAATTTCTATATACTTGTACTGTTTGCAAGGTCTTCCTCCTAACACAAGTATTCTCAACATGAATTTTGGAGCCAGAATGTAGCAGGTTTTTTTGTCTTAATTCTCTCTAAGTAAACCGGCATATCACTTAAGGAAGTGTCTGATTCACATATGTGAAGTGCAAATAAGAAAAGGTCCTACCTCAAAGAAAGGTTTGCATGGGACAATATGTGTAAAATGCTTAACACAATATTTGGCATAGAGCAAATGCTAAATACACAATAACCTTTATCCCTATCATTACTGGTTTACATAACCCACCTTCATTTAAGCAGGATTTCTGCAAAACAGTTATCAGAAACAAAACTAAAGCAGGAAATACTTAGGTAATTCAGGTCTAAGAAGAAATTAACTCCTCAATGACACACAATCAAAATGGATAGTTGGAATTATTATCCATCCATGTCAGATACACATGTGGAAGTTACAGTAATTTTCCATGTCCTCCACTTTAGTTGAGTTTTGATTATCTAAAGGTAGCACTTACCTACCCGATTAGGTGGGGCCGCAGAATTGTTTTTCCTTAAGGTCCCACCTGAGCAGGTACATGTACAAAAGAGAGAGAAAGAAACTGATTAGAGAGATTGGAGAAGCAGAGGGCGTGATCCTCTTAATCATTCTTCACTTCCTTTTTTTTATAAGATGACTTGGCAACGTCTGTCACATCCGCGGCAGAAGCGGCGACGCCTCCTCTGTGGCGTCCGCTTGCAATTGCCCAGCTTTCGCCTTGCACATTTGTGGTTTTCGGGGACACATTAGCAACCAATGGTTTTAGCTCTCGGTGGCCCAAGAGTTGCCAAGGCGGTTAAGAGTCATCTGAAAAGTCTTTTACCCTGAATCGCTCTGAATCAGAAGGCCACCTGATTTCTCCTGCGGTACTTGGCAAATTTGCACCTCCCTCTGGTCCTGGTCCAAATGCATGGGAAGTGCTAAGGAAGAACACGGGCGCCCAACAGTGAGGAGATGGTAAAGGCGTCCAGAGGATAAACTTAAAGACTGATCCTACAGACCAAGCCGAAAGAAGAAACTGAAAGTACACTGCCGGCTGATCCTACGGAAGTTATGGAAAAGGCAAAGCACAGAGCCAGGCTGTGATGTGTGCCGCCCCTCCTGGGATGGATGAAACAACAGGCGCGCCGTGGGTGAAAGAAACCAGCTGCAGAGACTGGCCTATCCAGCGCGGACTTGTGTCAACTCCGCGGAAGACCTTGGTCCTGGGAGTGATTATGGGTGAGAGCGTGCTCCTGCTGCAGTTGCGGTCATCATGACTACGCCCGCCTCCCGCAGACAATGTTCCATGGTAAGCGCTCTTCTCCCGGGCGCACAAGTTCGCGCGCCAGGCGCGCCTGGGGACTCCCGGACGCGCTGCGATTCTCCCCACCCCCCAGCGCCAAGGCACGTCCGGGAATAGCCCGGCTTGCACTTTGGACCTGCAGAGAACACTGCCTCTCCTGTGGTCAGCCGCTACCCACTCCTAAGTACAATGGCCCATAGTCATCTGCACCTGGGTTTGCTGTCCCTAGCGGGCTGTGAAAAGCAGAGCCAAGGCTTACCTTCTGTCCTGAGACTAAGCGCTGCAACCTCCGCGCTGCTCAGCAGGGGCAACCTACAGCCAGATCTCAGAGGTAGTCAGTGACTTCCAATGAAAGTCTGTCTGTCCCTAGCCAGCGTTGCCCTGGGCGAACACTGAGCCAAACTAGCTCTACTCGTGCTCCAGGCAGCCTGGGTTCAGCGAGTGAGTAGCTGGGCTCTTGCAGCTCCGAACTTCCTAGAGAACTGAAAGCGAAGCTCCCTGGGGACGCGCTTTTAAGCCCTAAGGGACAGGTCTCCGTAAAACCCCGTTTTTCCCCCTCAGTAGGGCTGGGAGTTTCCATCTGGGGCTGTACCCTGCGCTGTTTGCTGGGAACTCATGTCCTGCAATTTGCATTGAAAATAGCCAGACGTTGCTTTGTCCTATATGCTGGATCCTTGATGGAGGCAGGATTAAATAGACTTCCTTCTAAATTCTAAACCCCTGATGATATCTGCTAGATTTTATTTCCGCGGAATAAGGACTTAAAACGGAGGACAAAATTAACGTGGGTTGGATCCCATTTGGCAGACATGTGGCTAATGTAAGGGGCTAACATAAATAAATTAAAAATACTGGAAGTGAACAAAGGAGAAAGATATGTGAGGGGAGAGGATCTACTTAGGGAAATTGGTATGTTTTACTATAAGCTCTTCATTAAGCTAGAGACCTGTGGGAGAGGGTGGAAGAATAGGGAGCCAGCTTTCTGCTCTTCCTTTTGATGGTCTGTGTACTCCCATGACTATTCTGTTAGATCAAGATTCATTTCCCCTCTCATAGATATTAAAACACCTAGAATTGACTAACTAGGGGAAATGCTCAGTAACAAAAAAAAAAAAAAAGAGGGGAGGAGGAGCATGAGAGAATATCCAAGACAATTATGGATTTGTTAGAAAAGTGCTCCAGAAGTTTAAATGTAGAATTAGAAATGGAGCTGTATCTGTGTTTTCCATGCAATGCCCTTGGTTTCACCACCTGCAATTACTTCTTTCTGGTTCTCTCCTGTTTCTAATCCTTGTATTACCTCTTATCAAAAGTAGACACATAAAAAGACAAAAAAAAACTCAGGGTGTATACTTCCAGTAAGGAAACTTTATTGCTGGATGTACATCTATATTAATGCATCATAAACTACTATTAGCAACAAAATATTAAAATTCTAAGCTTCTAATGTAAATGTTATGATGTAATTATTATATTGAGTGGTTTTCTACATCTTGGTTCCAAGTGATTTTTATGAGAAGTTCAAACTCCAAGACTGTATGTAGGAATACTATTTACATCTCTTTCTTTGCTCTTTCTTTTGAGAGGTGAAGTAGATAAGCCCAATGCGGTGATGCCCACCTGTGATTCCAGCCATTTGGGAGGCTGAAGCAGGAGGACTGCATGTTCAAGGCCATCCTAAGCAACTTAAGGAGACTCTGTCTTAAAATTAAAAAATAAAAATAAAAAGGACTGGAGATGTAGCTCAATGGTAAAGCAATCCTGGGTTCAAACCTCAATACCAAGGAAAAAATAATGATAAAAAACCCCCAAGATATGTTAGAATGAGGAGGAGAACCAGAAAGAAGTAATTGCATTAGAAACAAGGGCATTGCAAAGAAAACATGGAAACAGCTCAGTTTCTAAGTAGATGATGACTCACTATGTGATCCTCAACTATGCAATTGGATTTGGGTGAATTCTTCATATCTGAGGACAAAAAAAAAAATAGAATAGTAATAAAAGCAGAAAACCAAAATGATTAGAATAGGTACAAAGGGAATTTACAAATCGCACCATATCAGTGTTTAAATGACTTGAAAATAGAAAAGATTATTTTGTAGGACCAACTCAGATGTCTAATCATATTTATGTGTTGAGATCTTTTTTTTTCTCCTAGTCTCACTCATATTACCTACTCAAATAAAAGCAAATATTTAATATCTTTTTGAGATAAGGGTATATGATACAGTTTCTGAGCTTGGCCAGAAATTACCTTGGTGAAGTTTTTGCAGAAAAGGAAATGAGTCTTTTGCCTTTCTCTTAAACCCATGTATACCTTTTTATAGGAAGTGGGGTGCCTCAGTAGCTAAAAGCTGAGTTTCTAGATTCCTTAACCTGAACAAAACAGATTTGAATCTTGGCTCTTACTAGGCACATTCTATATTAGAAAAATGTTCTATGGGCCCCAGATTCTACACCTATAAAATGTAAATGATTTCTTTTTCTGGGAGGGTTGGACCAAGAATTGAACTCAGAGGTGCTTGACCATTGAGCCATATCCTGGCCCTATTTTGTATTTTATTCAGAGACAGGATCTCATTGAGTTGCTTAGCATCTTGCTTTTGCTGAGGCTGGCTTTGAACTTGTGATCCTCTTGCCTCAGCCCCTCCAGCTTCTGAATTACAGGCCTATGCCACTGCACCCAGAAAAATGTAAATAATTTCTAAGTACTTCATGAAATGATTTTGGAATTATATTCCCAGTGAAAAGAGATTTATGTAATAGGCATTCAATAAACACTATTGTTCTTGAATTCTGATAAAAGACTGGATTTGGAGGGCTGTAGAAACAATTTATTTATCTTCACTTTGACCCCATAACTTGAGCAGCTAAGAATTGAATGTATTATTTGGCTTAAATTAAAAACCAACAAGAATTCTTAAACCGCTATCATTCTGTTTAACCAAATTCCCTACTGAAAACAAATTCTCCAATTTCAGTCCCTTCAGGAGATTTAAAGACAATTCCACAAGCCCACACTTGCCTTGCATTGTTCCTTAGGGTTTGTCTTTTCTGTAATCCAATGAAAAGTTCAGGGGGAGGGGGAAGGGCAGAGGCCTATATAGTATGAAACAAATGCAAACAAAATAAAATAAAGCTGAGTCTCTTTTCCATTGTGACACTGTTCAAAGTCCCCTCAAGCCAAACAATCTTCATATATTACTTAAGTATGTAGTATGGAAGAAAAGATTTCAGTTGTAAAACAAACCAGATCTTGAGAGAGCTGAGAATCATTGAGATGTGGGTCTCAGGCCTGGGATATTTTTGCAGAATTGTCCTGAAAGCAATTGTAAACCTGAAGAGTTTCTCTATTTGAATGGCCAGGTAAGACAGAATGAAGGGGCTTAAGAGCTGAAAAAGATTTAAGAGATTTTAGTCTAATGTTTTCATTTAAAAATCAGGTAGATGAATCCATTCACTCAGTAACACAACCCACTATCCCATGAGGACAGAAGTCCCAGGTGTCTGTGTTTCCAAAGCCTCATGCTTTGTATTGTCCTAGTGTGTGGGGCTAGCTTTTTCACAACAACTATGGTAACAGAAGACTCTCTTTACAGGCAAGACAAATTATGTTTTAGCATTGATAAATTAGTTGTAGCATCCCAAAGACTGAACTTTCCATCCAACCTCATTGGAAAGAATTGATAAAATGCCACCCAATGAAATAGTAGGTTGATATGAGTTTTGGGAGTAGTTATGACTGAAAATTGGGATGAAGAAGATGGTGCTTATGGAAAATAAAACACCTCATTTTTAATATATAAAATATGGGCCTCTGAAATAATATTTAAGTATAATGGTAAACATATCTCCTTTTCACTCTAGCATTTAATTATTTTACTATAGTCTCCTTAAAGTTCATTCTAAATTATGTGCCTTATAATTTTTCCTTCTTTGTCTATTTCTCCAAAATTATAACTTTAGTATACTTGGAAATGAAAAGAGAAATTAAAAGTATGTTTCTCTATGATCTGTACATATCCAATACCAGGTCAGAATTAATTGCCAGTAATTAATGAGCAATTAATTACTGTTTGAAGATCTTCAGGAGGAAGAAATCAAAGAAGAAGAGAAAGGCGGAACTGAATATTATCTCATGGAAGCAGTTTTTATGCAGAAGGCCAATGAAATTACATGTTATCAAAATATTAGGGCTTTTTTTTTATCAAATTCTGGAAAGACAATAAACTTAGGTGAATGTCCAAACTTGACGCCTACTACCTCTGTGCTACTTGCAGGAATATATATAAATACTCCTAACAAACAGTCCCTAGCACCAGCAACCAGCATCTGGTAGATATTTGATTATAAGTAACTAGGATCATAATCACTTGTCTCCTAAATGTATTCTTAGTTACAGTGCATACAGGTAGTTAGTATTAGATCAATGAACAGATTTTGTGTCTCACTCCTGCATTATATTTCTTTATATCAAGTGTCACATGAAGATAAGACGTATGATTGACGCGTGTTCCTTAACTTTTGCCTAGTCTACTTTCTGTATTTGTAAAAATATCAGTCACTAAAAGCATAATTTATTAGGGAGAGTTACTGATTTTTTAAGACAGATGATAACATAATACAGTTATTGGAAATTTTATGATATCCTTAAGAGTTTTTAGGCAGTTGTCACAATATTAGTTCAGTGAGTGGAAGGAATGTTAATTGAACTCTTAATTAAGGAAGGTACACATGTGGAAATGCCTTGCACTGAACAAGCACAATTAAAGTTCTTTTGTGAAACTCCCAAGAACTTAACATAACTCAGAGTTCACGGAACAATGCAAACAAGACACTATGGCAGGCTGGTGAAGAAATAGATCAAATTTAATGTTTCTGGGAATCACTGAATTTTCAGTTTGTGTATTTTTACAGCCCCAAATCGCACCATTAAAACTTTCATTTCTTTATATTGTATAGCTGCTTCTAATGGGGAAGACTTATCTAAAACAGATAGACATAATGAATTCACAGGGTGTGAATTTATTTGTTGGGTTTTTCTAACATGACAAGAAGCTGAGAAAAGATGTGTTTGAATAAAATGTGGATCTCTGAGTCCATAAATTCAGAAAATAATGAAAAGAAGAAAAGGGAGTATCAAAATACAAGTGTAATTCTAAAGAATTAGGGGCAGGGTAAACCCTTTAAGTTCCATCACTAAAAAGAAAGAACAGGATCACAGTGTAGTGCTGTGGAGATGAACCTCCCACAGTACTGCCCTCCAGGGAGAAGTCAATGAATATTCCTTTAAGTGTACCATGTTCAAGTTTTCACATAAACAATCATATGCCATACATCATAAAATTTCAATAACGTGTAGCTTTTTAAAACTGTAGCATACCTCTTTGCCTGCAGATACCTTCTCTTACAAGGATGTTCAACATAAATCCATATTTACTAAGTCATCATTACCCCTAAAGTGTCTTTCAGAAGTGTTCTTTGATCTCATCACACCTGTTCTACACTTCTTAACAGAAATTTCTATGTTAACAAAGTGAATGAAGCCTGGTGTGCTGGCACACGGCTGCAATCCCAATGGTTTGGAGGCTGAGGCAGGAGGATCCCAAGTTCAAAGCTAGTCTCAGCCAAAGCTAGGCACTAAGCAACTCAGAGAAACCCTGCCTCCAAATAAAATACAAAATAGGGCTGGGGATGTGTCTTGGTGATTGAGTGCCCCTGAGTTCAATGCATGCTACCAAAAAAAAAAAAAAGAATGAAACCTAAATTTCAAAATGTAGTTCTAGTTTGGTTGCTATATAATTTCAGTGTATAGAGTTCTTCCCCCATTATTCAGGAACTGAGATACATATTTAAAATTATTAAAAATAAGTGGTCAAGCCCATTGTAAAACTACAATCAAATATAACATAACATTTAGCTCATTCTTACTTACTGTTGAATTTAGTTTCTTTTAGGTATATCTTTGGAATTCCTCCCTTGATCCTTGCTCTGTTACCAGTAACTTCATCTGATTGTGATATTAAAGGTAAAGAAGGTAAAGAATTTGAGCATGTTCTAATGATCAGCTTCAATGAATTGGTATGTGCTTTTTTGTTTTTCTTACATTTTTGCTCATTGGGAAAATATCATATATATTTTTGGCATGCCATTTTATAATCAAGTATCCATCTATATTTATGGACAAAAGGTGAAATAACTACTAAATAAAATGTAATGTACCAATAACTATATATTTTATTAGTTCCATCATTATATTTTAATGTCCTTTAAAAATAAATCTTTCCTAGACCCTAAGACTCTCACTATCCATTTAAGTCTTGTTACCCTTTATGACCAAATTTCTCATAAGCATAATTCGTTATTACTACCTGCAATTCCCCATCTCACCTTTATGGTGTTAGTCTTTGTAGACAAATTACATAAGGAGAGGTTGAATAACACAGTATAACATCTAAAAGTCAAGGTGTAAAAAAGTGTATAGTTACTTTATCAGAATATGTATACATGCATATATATGCATATATACTTTGTACATAGGTATTATATATAATATCCTGAAAGTTAATTTTTATTTTCTGCAAACACTGTTTTTTAATTAATCAATTTTATATTTTAGAGCAGATTTTGATTTATGGAATATTTGAACAAAAATTAGAGAATTTCTATGTACTTCTCCCTCTGCACAGTTTTCCTTATTATTATCACTTTGCATTAGTGTAGCACATTTGCTAAAATTGAGGAATTATTATTAATACATTATTGAATCAAAGCTCATAGCTGACATTAGGATTCACTGTTTTATTCAGTTCTGTGGGTTTTGGTAGAGGTATAATATCATGTATCCATGATTATTGTAGCACATAGAATTCATTTCACTGTTCTAAAAATTGCCTATGCTCCACTGACTCATCCTTCCCTTTCTCCTCCTGCACTCCTGGCAACCGCTGATCTGTTTACCGTCTCTCTAGTTTTTCCCTTTCTAGAAGGTTATGTAGTTGGAATCATGCAGTCTGTAGCCTGTTTAGGCTGGATTCCTTTACTTAGAAATGTGCATCAAAAGTTCTTTTATGCTTTTTTTGTGGCTTGGTAGCTCATTTATTTTCTTATTGTAGAATAATATTCATTCAATGGATAGGCTACAGTTTATCTATTCACAGATGGAAGGATGTATCCTGGTTGCTTCCAAGTTTGGGCAATAATAAATAAAGGCTTCTGTAAACATACATGTGCAGTGTTTGGTGAGAACATTAGTTTTCTATTCATTTGGATAAATATCTAGGAGTCTGATTGCTGAATCATATGGTGTGTTAGTCAGCTTTTCCTCACTGTGACCAAAATACCTGACAAGAACAACTTAGAGGAGCACAGATGTATTTTGGCTCAGGGTCCCAGATGTTTCAGTCAATGCTTAGCTGGCTTCTTTGGCTTGGGCCTGAGACAAGGCTGAACATCATGGTGGAAGGGTGTGGCAAAGGAAAGCTGCCTAGCTCTTGGTAGCTAGGAAGAGGAGAAAAAACGAGGGGAGGGAGGGAGGGAGAAAGATAGGAAGGAAGGAAGGAAGGAAGGGAGGGAGGGAGGATACAGAAGACAGAGAAGGAGGCCAGGGACAAGATATAGTCCCCAAGGGCATACCCATAGTGACCTACTTCCTCCAACCATGCCCCACCAACCTATAGGTTCCACCTCCTCCCAGTAGCCCATTCAAATTATTAATTCATGAAATGGATTAATCAACTGATAGTGTGAGAGCCTCAGATTTAATCACTTCTCAAAAGCCGCATCTCTGGACATTACTGTGTTGGGAACTTTGGAGGGCCCTTCCAGAGCCAAACCATAACAGATTATAAAATTATGCTTAGCTCTGTATATAACTGCCAAAGTGTCTTCTAAAGTGACTGTACCATTCCACATTCTCCCAGAAGTTAATAAAATCCTAAGGTTGTTCACCCATGCCAGCATCTGGTATTGTCAGAGTCTGGGACTTTTGCCATTGTTGTTTTAATTTAGAGTTACCTAGTAATATGATGTTGAACGTCTTTTCAGATTCTTACTTCAATCTATGTATCTTTATAGGTAATGTATATGAACTCACATCTGAACTGACATCTCAACAATACTGAGTCTTCTAGCCATTTCCTATAACAGCTCTGCATTTGTTTATATCTTTCTTTGATTTCTTTGATCAGAGTTTTGTACTTTTCTTCCTACAGGTCCTGTATTTATTTTGATAGACTTATACCTAAATATTTCATATTCTAAGGCTCTTGAAATATGATGTTGTGTTTTTAATTTCAAATTCCACTTGTTCATTGCTAATGTGTAGAAAAGCGATGTTTTTTTAATATTAATTTTGTATCATGAAATCGTGTTACAATTGCTTATTAGTTCCAGGAGTTTATTAATGATGGTCTTTGAGATTTCCTACATTGACAATCATGCCATTTGCAAAAGTTAATTTTCTTATATGGTTTAAGAGATATATCAATACAATGTGATGTGTTGACTTTTTCATATATAATCAGTTCTTTACAATTACATTGAATATCTGCATAACAGAGATAAACCCTCTCTCAAATATTCATAAAATGGCACAAATTGTCTTATCTGTCCCTTCCTTACACTTTCTTTTCCACATACTTATGTTGAAATGGTTTGATGTTCTGGGAAATTGAGAATTCTGCCTCTTGGGAGAGTTTGGGAATTCAAGGTAATGTTGAAAGCTGTACCACAAAGATCCCTGATTTTGCCCATTGACAAGAAAAAAATGTACATACTAAACAATACACGTGCAATTTATATCTCATACTATTTTTGACATTGTAATAAGTGTTCTTAGAAATCCTTTGATTTAACATAACATTTCCCATTCAATTTTATTAGCTGGGCAGAGGATCAAATAGCATTATTTCAACCACATTTACAAATGACTATATGTGTGAACCAGGGATAGATCCTCCTTTTAAGAAGCTTGCATTTGGGTGATGCGTAAGTTTTGGTGGTAAAGAATGCAAATAGTAGCTTTAAAAGGAGAAAGAGCAACCACCACCCTATTATTTCAGACATACTGGTTGTGAGCCACATTTGGAAATGAATAGACATGCATTGTGGTATAACACAGATCAGTTTCAGCTGAAGGGAAAGTGCATGTTGGTGCATACTGAGCTGATCTCCAATATATTTAGATAGTATACCTTTTAAGTAAAATTTGTTGAGCCTGCCCTTCCCATACAAATTTAGCATTTGTTTATTTAGTATAATATCCTCATGGTAACTTCTATGTACATTAATAATGATATACACAGAAATAAAAATTTATATAAAATGAAGTAAAAAAACTAGATAAAATTGCTAACATTTTCTTCAAGTGGACATAGAATAGAGTTATAGTAGTAAAAATATGGAAATTATTCTAACTCTAATCTGAAGTCCAAACAGGGAACAGAATAAGAAGGAGATTCATTCTTTCTACTTAATGCAGAGGGAAAGAAAGGTTCATAATATATGATAAGGTACCTTACTCTATATGATCTGCCAAGCATGGAGTACAGATTCATAGAATTGGAGTGACTAAATTAAATAGAATCAGCATTTTAGGTTTCTTGATACATGTTGCCAAATTATTTTATGGAAAGTATGGATAGGTGTATAATTCTTATACACCCTGCATATGAGATCATCACTCTTGTCAATTTTTATTATTTTTATTTTTAAAACCACCTGCCAAGGCAATAGAATATTGACCTCTTGTTTGAATTTATTTTTCTTCTAGTGTTAGTGCATTGAATATTTTTAGAGTTTTTTCTTCATATCTATAAACTTCTAATTTAAAAACTATAAATAAATAGAAGGAAGAACAGTAGAACAGAGAAAAGGGAATGGGGGAAGGGAGAGAAAAGGGAAGTACAGGAGACTGAATCGGAATAAATTATATCTCATGCTTGTATGATTATGTCAAAAAGAATTCCAATATGATATACAACCAACCATAAGGCACTAATAAAATTATTTGACATTGAGATAAAATTTATCCTTTTAAAAAATCACAATTCAGTGGCTTTTAGTATATTCAGAAGTTGTACAATCATCATTACTGATTCCAATATATTTTCATCACCCAAAAAGAAATCCTGTACCCATTACCAGTAATTTTTCATTCCTCCTCATTAGCCACTGGCAGACATTAATATGCTTTCTGTCTATGGATTTCTCTTTTCTGGACACTTCATAGAAATGGAATCATACAATATAGAGCTCTTTAATTGGGATTCTTTGACTCAATGTGTTTTTAAGTTTCATTCATATTATAACAAGTATCTATAATTCACTTCTCTTTTATAGCTCAATAAAATTATCTTGTATGGATATGACATATCAGCTGCTGGACATTTGTTTCTTTTTTTTTTGCTGTAATATGTAATGCTACTATAAATATTGGTATGCAAATTTTGATATAATTTTTTAAAAAAATTTGTACCTAGGAGTGGAATTGCTGGGTCACATTGCAACTGGCTTTGTTGTTTGGAGATTTTCAAATACTGCTTTGATCTCATTATGCATTATTGGTCTGTTGAGATTATCTATTTCTTCTTGATTCAGTCTTGGTAGGTTGTATATGTTCAGAAATTTATCACTTTCTTCTAAGTTTGCCAATTTGGTAGCATATAATTGCTCATAGCAGTTTCTTATGATTTTTTATGTTTCCATGGTATCCCTTTTAATATTTCCTTTGTCATCTAATATTATGGACTTGGATATTCTCTGTTTTTCTTAGCTAGTCTGACTAAGATTTGTTATCTTTAAAAAAGCAACCTTTTTATTGATCTTTTGTATTGTGTTTTGGTTTTGATTTCATTTATTTCTTCTCTGATCTTCATTATTTCTGTCCTCCTGCTAATGTGGAGTTTTGTTTGTTCTTGTTTTTATTTCTTTTCTTTTTGCTTTGAGATGTGTTACTAGGATGTTTATTTAAAATATCTATAATATTTGAAAAAGAAATTTCCATGTATACATTCATTGCTATAAACTCTAAATGATGCTTTTGCTAGATTCCCAAATTTTTGATGTGTTGGGTTTTCATTTGTTTTATGAATTTTTCCCTTTTATAGTAATAATTTCCTCATTGATTTAGGAATGTTGTTAAGTTCCATATATTTACATATTTTTCACTGTTCTTCTTTTCACTGAATTGTAGTTTTATTCCATTGTGGTCTGAGAAAATATACTACATGATCTGGATTTTTAAAACTTGAGACTTGACTTGTGACCTAACATATGGGCTATCCTGAAAAATCCATGTGATGATGAAAAGAATATGTATTTTGCTGCTGTTGAATTAAATGTTCTGTAAATGTCTGTTAAATCCATTTACTCTATAGTGTGGTTAAACTCCTGTGTTCTTTGTTAATTTTGTCTAGACCATCTGTTTACTGATAAAAATGGGTGTTGAAATCACCAACTATTACTGTATTGAAATCTGCCTGTCCCTTTACATCTCATAATATTTGCTTTATATAAGTGGCTGATCCAGTGTTGGATGCATATATGTTTAAAATGGTTATGTCTTTTGCTGGATTGAAGCTTTTATCATATATGAGTGTCTTTGAATCTTTTTACAGTTTCTGATATAAAGTTTATTTTACCTAACATCAGCATAGCTACTCCTGCTTATTTTTAGTTGCTATTTACCTAACATAACTTTTTCTAAGTCTTCATTTTAAATCTGTGTATATACTAGTGAAGGGAGTTTCTTGTAGGCAGCACATGGTTGGGTCTTGCTATTTTTATCAATTCTGTCAATTTATGTCTTTTGATTGCTAAATTTAATCTACTTACATTCAAGGGAGTTTTATTTTTCTTTTTATTCTTTGTTTTTTTTTTTCAATTCTCTTATTCATCTTTTTTCTTTAATTGTCTAAGCTACTGTATACTCTAGTTTAGACATTTGTTCTTCTGTTTGGCCTGATGTGGAAACTCTCAATTGTATTTTTTAATTTAATTAATTGAAGTTTTTAGCCCTGATTTCAGATTATTTTTATGATTTCTATCTTTGTTAAATTTCTAATTCATATCATTAATGGTTTCTCTCATTCTATTACATTGTCTCTCTATATTTTCATGTATCTCACTGGGTTTCCTTAGGATGATTAGTTTGAATTCTTTTTCAGGCATTTCATAGATTTCCTGCAAATTTGGATCTATTTCTGGAGAACAACTGAGTTTCCTTAGAGGTGCCATGCTTTCTTATGTGTCTTGGGTCCATATGTTGATGCCTACACATCTGGTGGAATAGTCACTTCTTTCTATTTTATTTTGTTTTATTTTATTTGGTACCAGGGATTGAACTCAGGGGCACTGAGCCACATCCCCAGCCCTATTTTGTATTTTATTTAGAAGCACAGTCTCCCTGAATTGCTTAGCACCTCACTTTGGTTGAGGCTGTCTTTAAACTCATAATCCTCCTGCCTCAGCCTCTCAAGCTGCTGGGATTAACAGGCATGTACCCCTGTGCCCAGAATAGCTTTTGTAGGAAAATAATTGTATTTACATGAGATACAGGGTGTCAACTGAAAAGATATTTTGACTTTAGTTCTAGGTGAGCTCAACAATATAGCCTCCATGTGATTTTTCAAGTATAGACAATGTCACCAGTGTCTTCTAGTGATGCAATAATGTAGGTTTCACCTATTCATGAAGATAATTGTGTGACTTTGCAGTTAATGTGGGCTTCCAAAGGTGCACATCCTTAGTCCTACAGAGTTAACTGTCAGTAATTCTGCAATTATGATAGCAACAGCCATGGTCCTGGTGGCATGGGATATGGAGATAACTTTCCCCAGGTCTAACAGGGCAACTATTGTTGGTGCCTGGTGTTGTGCAACCTTCGTTTGTGGTCCTAGAGCCACAGAATATAGAAGGGAACATTCCCATATCCTGCGGAATGAACATAGCTAATGCTGGTATGTGTTCATGGCACAGGCAACTGTGATCTTGGAATTGTGGAACACAAAGAGGACTTCTCCATATTATATGGGACAGGCAAAGGTGACTCAAGGAATTTGACACCAGCATCCATAGTTCCAATGCCATGGGATGTTGAAAAGGCCTATACTAGGTCTCACAGGACAAGTGCAGTTGATGCTGTGAGTTTTTATACTCTTGGAGCTGCAGGATATATATACACTGGGTCTTCCCTAGGACCAACATGGTATGTATAGTTGATGCTTAGACTTCAGCAATGGTCCTGAAGCTGTAGGACATGGATGCAAACTTCCCCAGTTCTAAGAAACAAGTGTGGGTGATTCTGGAGTTATCTGGCCTCCGGAATTGCAGTCCCAAAGCAATGGGCTATGGAGATTTTCATGGGTCCCACAGGATGAGTGTAGGTGACTCCAGAGTTTGTAGTGCTGGTTGTCTTAGTCCTGGAGCTGAAGAATGTGGATAGGAGTATGCCCCTCAGAGCAAGTATAAGTTGCACCTGGCTGTGACACTGGTAGCTATAAAACACTAAGGGTTCTGTCCTTCACTCTATGGGGTATGCATTGAACTAAAGCTTCTGTTGACATAAGAGTGTTGGCTTCTGGCCCCTAAGGCACAATGGCATCTAGCAGTGGGTTGTAGCAACTTAGATTCTGAGGACTAGAGGGTAGGGCAATGTAAGTTGCTTCTCTGATACAAATCAGTAATTCAGATCTCAGCTAGCTCCCCAAACTAGCTTTGAAACCTCTGAGAACTGTAGAATTCTGCTGTCCAAACTGCTGATCTGCTCCTATTGTGGGAATCCCATATACCTTTCCTTTTACCTTTTCTCAGAAATGTGAAGCTTCCCTACAGCCAGGGGACCAGGTTTTGTAGTATGGTTTGTTCTTCTTTATGTGCTGCCTTTCTATTCTCTGCTGTTTGGAGTTCCTGACACTTCTCTTCAGCCATTTTGGATTCAGCTCCTTTATGTCGAACTTTTTGAATAACTATCAAACTGTTTTCAAAGTTGTTGCACCACTTCAATCTTACCACCAGTATGTTAGGGTTACAATTTACCAACATTTTCACAACTTCTTGTTGTGAATTTGTTATTCTATCCATTTTTTTGTAGATGGTGATATCTGACAGTGATTTTTCTTTCCTTAATGATTAATGATATCACACATCCTTTAATTATACTTCATTATTACCAGATGTTTACATAAATCCTTTGCTCAGTGTTAAGCCAGGTTATTTTATTTTTATATTTTGGTTGTAAGAATTATGTATACATTCTGGAGATGAGAACATTATCAGACATTTCAAATTTTCAAGCATTATCTCTCATCCCATGTGCTGTCTTTTCACTTCCCTAATAGTGTCCTTTGAAGCACACACCATTTTATTTTGATAGTCAATTCATCTATTCTTTCTATTGTCCATGCATTGGATGTCATTCAGAAAAATTGCCTAACCCAAGGTCACAAAGATCCTTTGCTTTTTTTAATTTTCTAAGAGTTTTATAGTTTTAGTCTCACATTTAAGTCTTTGATCATTTTGAGTTAATTTTTATACGTTGTGGGATGTAGTGGTCCAACCTGATGATTTTTCATGTGGCTATCCAGTTGTGTGTGTATCATTTATTGAAAAAATTAAGTTCCCCATTGAATTGTCTTGGCACTGTTGTTGAAATCATTGAACTTAAATATCTGGGTTCATTTATGGACTCTTAATTCTAATTCCGTGATCTATATGTCTAGCCTTGTGACACGGTCTACCTTTATGACACACAATTAATCCCTGTAGCTTTGTATTTTTTCAGTTCAGAAGATTTTCTTCCAACAATGCTTTTTGTTGTTGTTCTTGAGGTTGTTTTGACTATTATGTTTGCTTGTTGTGTTTATAGATGCAATTTCTCATATTTATTCTCTGTATTACCTACTTTTTAATATATTCTTTTGTGCAAATTTTTAGAATTTAAATGCAATATAAAGCTCCTTGGTGATATTATGTCCCTGTGCAAGCATTAAACCACAGCTACTACACATAAGTAAGCAATGCTCAACCAGTAGCATGGAGATGCAAGGACAGACTATACAGAAGGGGAGGGAAGCTTAAGAATATTTTTTTCCCTTGTAGTGCTCAAGATCCTTCTTTGTCTCCCATTGACTTTTACTGATTAGTCCCATTATTTGGGAAGTGCAACATATATTACTTTATATCTCCATAATTGTTGACAATTTTTCCAGTTATTCACTTTTTTTCTCACTTTTAATATGCACATATTTTTTTCATGTAATCACATTCATGTGATAGAATAGCACAGGATACAAAATGGGCACCAAGGTGAGAGAGGTCTTCCCATTTAGGAAAGAGGCCAGATAAAACTACACTGTGGACACAATTCTTAAATTTTAAAATACACACAGGTGTTACAAAAAGAGGAAGGAAATAGAAGGAATGAAACTAGGAAGTATACTAGCAGGGTGTCACTGGATTGTAGAATAGAAGAACCAAGACCTCAGAGGAGGCCTGGACCTCTCAGTGCTACTCCTACCATATGAAGGAATTTGAATACTTCCTTAGGTATCAGAAAGTCATGGAGGAGTTCAGTGGGAGGGTAAAGAGAAGATACTGAATACAAGGACCATAGGAACGGAAATTTTTGTCTTTTGTGTTCACTTCTATACTCTGAGGTCTCTAAAAGTTTTAATAAATGATGAATGATAAAGAACATAATGATATCATCAAGTTTTTCATCTTATAACCTTCTCTGGAAAACTTGTAGATAATTTGTGGAGCAGGACTGAAAACAAT